ATATATATTGGTGTTGCTCTTTTTTTTTTTTTTTTTTGGCTAAATTGGTGTTGCGATTCAGACGAAGCCGTTCTTAGGCTTGCATTGCATAAAAATTTCTAAGGTATATATTTTGCTATTTTTTTATTCTTTATTATAGATTTTTTTTGTTTATTTATCTTTTTCCGTTTTGAAGCCTTTCATGATTTTATGCTCCGTTTCTAAGGTATATAATTTGCTCTAGCTTTTTTTATTCTTTGTTATCGATGGTTTTTTCTTTTTTCTTTTCTCCCTTTTCTTTTTGAAGTCATTGATACATGTTTTGCTCAATTCTTTGAACTATTGTTATTTATTTTTTTATAATTACTCTTAATTCTTATTATGATTCGTTATTTGGATGACTTTTTTGTATACTCAATTCTTAATTAATAAAATTTATCTTTGTTATCTTCCACTTTCAAAGTTTTTTTTTTATGAGATGAGATTACAATTTTTTTTTTCTTTTTTTCCTTTTTTTTTGTAAACTTTATATCAGATTGAGATGTTTTTGTTCAGTAAAGGAAATAAAAACTACGATGTACAAGTAGTGATGTCAAACGTGCCGTGCCGGGCCGGCACGGCACGCATGACCCTAGGTCCATCACGGGCCTGGGCCGTGCCAGACACGGCCCTGCACAGTGCAGGGCCGAGCCTGAGAAGAAAAACTCAGGCCCGGTCCAGGCCCTTGGCCCTAGTCCATAAGGGCCAGGGCCGGGCCTGGGCCCAGGCCCTTCACAGGCCGGCCCCGACCCTTGTATTTTTTTTTTTAAATCTAATTAAAAAAAATATCATATACCTCAAAAGATGTGATTTTATTGAATTGACGTAATAGGAGTACACATAAATGACTGCCTCATTAAAAACCTTGCTAAGTAAAACCCGTGGGGAGATCGGGATAAAATCTTAGCGAAGGAAAAAAGAGTGCAGTAGCTAGGAATAGTAAATTACAAACCTAAGTACTTCCAAAAGATTCTGTTATTTCTAAGTTAGAAAAATATTCTTGCATCGAATCATCTGTGTATTGTTGTTTTCGTCTTCTGGCATCTTCCCAGTCTTTAATGCACATTAGTCCCTCCAAGATATCTGGATGCATTCTGCTTCTCTTCTC